TTGACTTTAATGAGAAAGTCTCTGTTTTGAGAATTAGATAATTAATATCCATAAATCTGGTGCTTTCAGAAATAAATTTTTCAAAAGCTAGGTTTCTCTATTTCCTTCCAATCACAAGTGCTGCACTGAATGCTGATTAGGTGGGCCAAATACATTCCATAACAGCAGCCCAATGGTGTCCTATCCAATCAGGAGGATTTTTTCTCAAAAAATATATTCACCTATTGCTTATCATCTCCATCTCATTATGTGCTATGTTTTTGTTTGACTGACAGAAGTTTCTAATCTGTTCAACACTCAACTCTGACCAGTGACTGGTAACTATTTCAAGATCAGACTCAACAAGTGCTGATGGGAAATTTGCTCAAATTTGTCTGTGGCAGGTGGTGAAAAGACCAACAAGAGAGGGAAAAAAAACCTATTTGACATCATCCTCATCAATCCACCCGTTACAAGTGCATCAGTCCATGATAGGATTAGTAGGAGTGTCCACTACAAGATCCTTTTGGAGATGAAGTCCCGGATTCACATGGAGCATGCTCACTATCATGTTGTGTGGCACTACCAGATTTAAAACTGTGTTGACTCAGAACAGGTTCAGCAGCTCAAAATCTGAGTGTCTCTGAAACACTGTCAGGGCCATCAGCAGCAGAAGAATGGTATTCAACCATAATCTGTACTGTCCTCGTCCAGCTAGAGAGTTCAGTACACATTGTATAACTTAGATGGCCACACTTTAAGCTGCTGCCTCATGTTCCATTAATGGAACAAGTAGTCACGTATTCCCTGATTCATCCTCAACTAATTCAGTGTTATCCAGACTTTCTGTGGAAGGTTGAACCTGCTCTTTCCCCACTTGCATCAGTCACCATGTTGTGGTTAGATGATCACAAACATGTGGATGTGTTTTTGGAGAGTACGAAAGCAATGGGATGTTTTGTTATCTATTGGTCCATTATGCTTATGAGAAGCATGTTTCCCTGTGAATATTAATGTGTTCTCAAACATAACATGGTGAGATACAGAAACAGAATTAAGCCATTCAGCCCACCGAGTCTGTTCCACCATTCAATCATGGTGATATGTTTCTCCACCCCATTCTACTGTCTTCTCCCAGTAACCCTTGATCCCCTCAACAATCAAGGACCTGTATGTTTCTGTCTTTAACACATTGAATAAATTTGCCTCGACAGCCTTCTGTAGCAATGAGTTCAACAGATTCACCACCCTCTGGCTGAAGAAATTCCTCCTCATCTCAGTTCTAAAGGGTCATCCCTTCACTCTGAGGCTGTGCCCTCAGATCCTAGTCTCTCCTACTGGTGGAAATGTCTTCTCCATGTCCACCTATCCAGACCTCTCAGTATTCTGTAACTTCCAATCAGATCCCCCTCTCATCCCTCTAAACTCCACTGAGTACAGATCCAGAGTCCTCAACCACTCCTCATATGGCAAGGTCTTCATTCCTGGGATCATTCTCGAAAACCTACTCTGGACCCCCTCCAACATCAGCACATCCCTCCTTAGATACAGGGTCCAAAACTGCTCAAAATATTCCAAATGCAGTCTGATCAGAATGTTATACAGCCTCAGCAGTACGTCTCTGTGCTTGTCTTGTAGCTCTCTTGAAATGAATGCCAATATTGTATTTGCCTTCCCAACTGCCAACTGAACCTGCATGTTAATCTTAAGAGAATCCTGACTTAGGACTCCTCAGTCTGTTTGTGCCTCAGATTTCTGAAGCCTTACCCCATTTAGAAAGTACACTTCTATTCTTTCTACCAAAGTGCACAGCCTTACACTTTCCCACATTGTATTCCATCTGCCGCTTCTTTACTCACTCTCCTAGTCCAAGTCCTTCTGCAGCCTCCTCTTTTCCTCAACACGACCTGCCCCTCCACCTATCCTTGTGTTATCTGCACACTTAGCAACAGTGCTCTCAGTTAATTTGTATAATGTGAATAGCTGTGGTCCCAACATCAACCTCTGCAGGACTTCACTGGTAACCAGCTGCCATCCTGAAAAAGACCCCCTTATCCCTACTCTCTGCTTGCTGCCTGTCAGCCAATCCCCTAACACCATGGGCCCTCATCTTATTTAGCAGCCTCCTGGGTGGCACCTTGTCAAAATCCAGCCAAACTCCACACTTACAGCAGTGTCAGAAACTGGCATTGGGACAAATTGGTTCTGCTGTTACCTATAGAAGTGTAGCAATGTTGCACGTTAAAGGTATTTTACCGTCAGAAAATTGAAAAGACCAGGTATTATATTGGGAACGGTGGCAGAAATTCAGAAATTAAACTGTGCTCTGCTCCATGGTAGCACTCAAAGATTTGAAAATGTCTGAGGAGCATTCATCTTTGTTTCTTCACTGCTGCAGCTTTCCTGTCTGACAACGTTACTGCTCAGTATGAAGGTCTCAGATGTAGTTGACTGTGACTATTTTCTTCATTTACCCCTTGATTCTTTGAGAGTGCCTGTCACTGATGGCTTGTTATTAACACAGTAAAACACAGCTAGTGTGGGCATTAAGGCAGCAAAATGAACAGCTCTGTTATGGTCACTACAGTGATTTTAAATAAAATCAACCATAAAGCAAAGAAAGTCCTCTGGAGGTAGAAAGGCCATGAAGGGTACTGAAGGATGGATGAATGGCTTCACGCCAACACAACAGTGAACCACATGCTCCAGGCTCTCACTGTGATGTTATTCATTCACATACAGTCATTCCATATTTCCATCCTGTCCCACCCACAGTGATGGAAACTCATACAACACTGCTGACATCTTTACTAGACAGAATGTTTATTGATTGTAAGAAGACATTGAAGCAAAAGTTAGATTTTACAGTTCTAGCAGGTGGGGTAAAGTGTCTGTTCTGCACTAGTTCTGAAACAGAGTGAAGGGCATCTCAAGGTTGTAAATATTGTCCGAATGTGCAATGATCCAAGTTTATTTGTATTTTCTCAAACATTTTATCACTCAGACTTAGCCATGCCAAGCCCTGGAATTTATGCAAACTACCTGATAGCAAAGGTTACATGGAGACAGTGGGGCTTTCTGTTTTTCTCTCTCATGCCTTGTAAATGGCTGTAATAAAGCAGACAAATTACCAAGATTGGTATTGGTCAATATTGGTGCATTTTTTGCAGCTGAAACTCATTTTTGCCCAGGATTTTATGGGTATCAGAAGGTTCTAACAAGCAAGACCATCATAAAGTAATCATAATATGAATGAACTGGGATAATGTGTTGATCCAGACTAGTTTCTGACCATAATATTTTACCGCAAAACTCAGGGTTTCTCATGGATCTGGGTGAAGCTTTATCAATTCACAAGGAATTATATGAGCATTGAGCAATCTTCAGGTGCAATTTTACTTCCTCTGCTTTGTGCTGAGCTTTTCTTTCTTTTTAACTACATTTTTATTCCTTTATGGGTTGTGGATATCACTCTCTGAGCCAGCATTTATTGCCCATTCCTAGTTGCCATGGAGATAGTGGCTGGAAGGTGCCTGTGGGTATTTTAAATTTATTTTATTCACCGCGTCACTGGTGAGGCCGATCCCTAACTGCCCAGAGGACAGTGAAGAGTCAACCACATTGCGGTGGTCTGGAGTCTGATGTCATCTATACCAGGTAGGGATGACAGTTTCCCTCCCTAAAGGATGTTAGTGACCCAGATGGGTTTTTACTGACAATCGGCAATGATTTCATGGTCATCATTTGACTCCAAATTCTAGATTTTTATTGAATTTACTTACCACCATCTACCATGGTGGGATTCAACCCTGGGCCCCCAGAACATTACCTGGGTCTCGGGATTAACAGTCCAGCAATAACCTCTAAGGAGGTTTTATAGGGAAGCTGTATGAGAGCCAGTTTTTGCAAATAATCCAGCCTAAGCACAATGAGTATTTTTCTGGGACTCTCATTATTAGGGCAAGGAAACAGAGTGAAATAACAGAGGTCTGAGAGACAGCTAATAGAAACGGAAAGATTGTGAATACCCCTGTTATTTCCCCACCCGATAACAGCAGCAGACACTTACTCACCTACCTTTGGCCAACACTTTGCTGCATGTGGGAGATTGTGTGCAATTTGTATTTCCAGCTGCAACACAGTTATAATACTGCCAGTGTCATTTCACTCTTTACCCTTTATATCCTGGGCATTCACCCAATGCCCTACACATAGTAACAGAGAGGCCAATTGTGAACACAACTGCAGAATCATTCCTTTCTCAGTTCCATTTGGCTGTTGGTTGAGTAACTGCATCAACCAAGCGGAGGGTTGGGGACTGCTCTGCGAAACACCTACGCTCGGTTCGCACTAAACAACTCCACCTCCCCATCACGAACTATTTCAACTCCCCCTCCCATTCCTCAGACAACATGTCCATCCTGGGACAAAAACAAAGTTGCTGGAAAAGCTCAGCAGGTCTGGCAGCATCTGTGAAGGAGAAAACAGAGTTAACGTTTCGGGTCCAGTGACCCTTCCTCA